TTGTACGAAAATGGATTGTGTCATAACAATATTGACGTTTGTTATTCATATGTTCACCTTGAATAAAACAAAACCAACAACTGAAATAACCATTGTGATTGATAAAATTAATGATCAAACTTAATGCAAGACAATCATCTGTGATTCCCAATATTATCAGCTTGTGATTCACGTTCAAAACATCAATACCTGAAAAGATAGAAAAGGATACCTTATTTGAAACTGATGTTGGAACAGTGAATAAGTATGAGTTGACCCATAGTGAATTATAGTTTCGTTCTAATTTTTTCTATTACAGAACAGAACCTTGTATATTGATATTATAAAGAAATCAACTGCTTCAAAAAAAATACAAGGCTTTCAAGTTTCAAACCGGTTGTAATCTATTTATAATAGTGTAGAAATCGCTCCCTATATACTAATAATAGAAATGCATACATACTTTGATTTTTAATTATTTTTAATTAATTTACAGAGTAATTCAACCATAATTTCGCAGGTGGCTCGATACAGGCTATCCAAATAGATATAATGAACATATTACATCGCTGCGAACGCAGTTTTGGTGGTAATTCTACAATCGATCTGCTTAACATCCACATTTTCAATTTAGTTGAACTAGTAATGCTAATACCATCGATGTGCAAGAGTAAGCTTATTAGAACTTGATAATCATTTTTCTTCAATAAGTATTGATAAAAGGTTCGAAATGGAATATCTTTCGTTTCTTCATGATCATCATTCTTGTAGATTTTTTTAAAATTCATTAATATTTGATAATAATTTAATCCTAATTTTTTTGATGACTAATTCAACATTACTCTCATATCTAAAAATATATAGCTGCGAATAAGACTCTCAGTTTACTGCATAAACGTAGATAAATATATATTATGTAAAAAAAACTTACACATAAGCAATTGAATTTTTATCTGTTGAGCAGCACTGTGAACAAATTTTTTGTTGATAATTGAATTCATTATAACCCAATAAACAAATGGATCGTTTTATAAATAATTCCGTAACGCCAAGCAACAATAAAAGTTTTTCTTCTGTTAGTCGCAAGTTATTTGGAACTGGAACATCGGATTTAATTAAAAATAACTTATCATCGATACTGTTTTTAGAAAGATTTGCTTGGCGAGCAATGATGATAAATGCTTCACAATAATCGTAAGTTGAATCAATAGTATAATTATATAAAGATAGTTTATCAGGTAAAATACTATTATCATCATCCGATTGTTCTTCTTCTATTGTTACTGTTTCATTATAACCATAATTTAACATAATGGATATTGCATCATCATTGTCTACATTTAATTCTTTTGATGTGTATTTAATTAAACAATTACTGTTGCCATTAATACATTCATGATCATCATATAAAGAAGAATCTTCATTTTCAATAATTTCCATTATATTTTGTTCAAATATAGATGGTTTATGCTGTATTGTTGTTGATATATGAGGGAAACAGGATTTTTTCTGTGTTAATCTTATTCGTCTTCGTGCAGCGTTGTGTTTATTATACCTTTCTTTTCTTTTTTGTTGTCCATAAAGATGTGCCAAGTTAAAATCTATTGGATTCATTTGTGTTCATCTGCAAAATTTAATAAAACGAAAACAATGTTAAATATCATTATTTGTATGAAAAGAAGAGAGGGTATTCGAGAATTTGAATATGAACGGAAAAATACTTACAATAGATTAGTTATAGTTGATGTGACTGAACAAACTAAAAACAGTAATTGTACTTGAAAAAGAAATTAACGTATTTAACTTTGGGTGCATTTCCAATGCTTTATACATCTTCATATATAATTGACTAGGCGCTTATGTATAAATGTGTGAATAGAAAGTAGAAAATATTAGAAAATTGTCCAAATACTTGTGCAAAAATAACTTTTTTTTATTTTTAAATCTTAAGTCTTATTCTGGCGTTTTTTTTACTAGTTGCTTTTATATGGATGGTGCTACGATCAACGACATTTAATATGCAGATGCACTGTTGAAATTTTAGTTTAGTTTCTATTGGTTCGTTCATTTTTAATGACAAAAAAGCGAAATTAGTGAAATTATTTTTTTTTATTTAGATATAATTAATTTTTTTAAATAAATATTCATTTTTTAAATTATTGTTCATATTTTAACCAAATAGAAAACCTATTTATTGTAAAATAAATATTGACACTTTAAGATATTTTTTCGATTTTAAGTAAATGGAAAAATTAATTTCTTTTAAGTATTTACCTTTTAAATTATTGTTCATATTTTATCTAAATAAAAAAAAACTATTTATTGTAAAATAAATAAATATTTACCTTTTCAAATAGAGTTCTCACTTTATCTAAATAAAATGGTATATTGTCAACTCTCAATGGCTCATGCTTTTAATATCAGATTCGGAAGTTGCTAATGTACTTTGAGTATATTTATGC